TTGCGTGGCTTTAACTTCCCCCCATGATAAGAAAAATCCCTGATACCAGCAACTCTGCATGCTGATATCAAAACATCTTACTGTCATTAGTCATATAAAAGCCTTTTTCTTACTTCTCTGTTGAGGCTCTGGTGATGTAGCCAAGGCCTCACAGCTGTCCCCTGGGAAGACTACGTCACCAATGCCTTCACAGAGCACTCTAAGTACAGGGTCTGTAAAAAAAAAAAAAGACTGAATGGGCTTCTCCTCGAGATTTTGGATACTCTCACAACATCTTGAGGAAAAGCCTATTCATTCTTTTTTTTCTACACAGACCTGTTGATGATATCATTGGTGGGGCAGCGGCAAAAATATGAAAGAAGAAGTTGGCCACTGATAACATCAATAAGGGAAGATAGCGGCATGGGTTTGGAGGAGAAGAGAGAGAGAAACATTAGAATATGGCAATATATAGACAGAATTAGCAAGCAATCATCATTAAAGTTAGGTTTTCATTGTTGTTACTGTTGTTACTGTCCCCACTGTCAACAGGACAGTAGGTTAGAGGAAATCTCTACAACAGGGTCACAGACAGCAACGGAAACTCTAGAAACAAAGACTCATAAAAAGATGCCGGCTGGGAAAAAAAACATGTGTTCCATTGAGTCTGATGTCTGACCTTTTTTCTAATAGACTGCAGAAAGATCTGCCTATGGGGAATATTCCCATCACATCTTGTCCTGGTGAAGTGAAGAAAAATCTCCCCAGGGGTCATAGAGAATAGTTTTCTTAAATGAGAACTATGGGGTTAGGGATTTTCCCCATAGTTCTCCTAAGGGTAACGGGAGGACACAAACTAGCGTCCTCCTGTCACCCTAAGCTCAGTATACCGCGAGATACAGCTCGTGGTATACTGAGACCCTGCAGCTGAAAAGGATCCCGACAATTATGTCTGGATCCGACCAGCTGCATGAGTGACAGCTGGCTCTGCCTATCTAAAGGCAGAGCCAGCTGTACCCGCTCCCTCCCCCGTCCGTTCCGCCAGTCAGCACTGGAGGATCGGAGCGCGGAGGGGGGGATCCAGTCCCTCCCCTGTCACAGCTCTCTGCCGTGACAGGATTGAGAAGTGAGCGAATGCCGGTATGTGTTCGCTCACTTCCCGATCTACTGAGCCAACCTGTGACAGTTTCATTGTCACAGGTCGGCTAGAACTATGAAGATGCGTGAAAAGCACTCACCTCATAGTTCTCCTTTAATTTAAGCTTTTCTTTCCTTTATTTACACCTGGTAATCCTGAGAATAACACACCTCCAGTCCTTGCTTGGATACACTTGCTTCTCCACTTTATCTTTGGAGGAAGCCATGGTTGTTCCAGCCATTCCATGATAGTTGAGGGGTTTTTAAGCTTACAAAAGAAAGATAAGATTATTTTTGCTCTCTGCTTACGGTGACCAGGGCACTAAATTTCTGGCTAGATCAACAGGTATTTTTCTGTACTTGCTAAAAAAAATAGAAAAATATAATTAGGGATTGGTAAGCTGCAAAATATTGCATTTCTGTTTTTGGGTTCAGATACGTTTCAAGTTTCTATTAACGCTTATTCACAAATGGGTATATGAACATATTTCTCAGACATTACTTTTTGTTCCTTTTCTAACTAAATCAATAGACCAGGGCTCAAAATTTCCACTCGCCTGCTCGCATTTGGTGAGTGGAAATGCAGTGCAGGCGAGTGGAAATTCAGTCAGGCTTGAGTCAGTACCTGACTCGTGGGAGCAGCTGCTCCTGCTGGTCTGTCTCCCTTCCTTTTCGGCCGGAGCTCTTCACTGAGCTCCGGGTCGAAAACTGAGTGATTAGTAATGTCTGCAGACCTTACTAATCCCACCAGATCACCAGTGATCTGCCTACTGTATCTCCTCCCTGCAGAAAGACAAGCAGGTGAGGAGGCTTCCTTGTTTTACTTTACATGGTGGGGGACAGGGGGCTTCTTATTTTATGTGTGGGCGG